TGACGTGCCAGAATGGAACCATACAACCGTGTAGTTCCATATATTACGTGTATTGGATAATGCCAAGCCGCGTGGAGAATTTCGTCGTTTCACTGTTATTTTTCGGTAAGTAATCCGTGCGTGTAGCCGCCAAATGACGGTGTACAAGATTTTAGCGTTCGAGAACTTTGCAAAGTAGTGTTGCAGCAAATGTTATTAATTATGAACAAATAATGCCCTTCCGCTGCAGGTTTGTGTGTGTCTCGGGGTATTTTTTTCGACCTCGCTATTAATATTTTTCCGGTAAATATCTCGTGCAAAATGTCCTCGTGGTTGAATGTTCAAAAGTATACAGCTATACCTATAATATTGATACAATATTATATATGGTCTATAGATAATATTAAAATAACATATTAAACGGCAGACTTTTATTTTATCGTTTTACTTCCGTCTCGAGTATCATCCCGGCGGCCGCGGTAGGTAACGTTTTCGGCGTATTTTATCTGTACGGCAGGATCGCGGAGTGGTTTATTCGGGGTTTTACGGTCGACTTGTTCGGTGGACGCACTCTTCTAGATAACCATATATATATATATATAAACATATAGGTATTATAATATTATAGTTTATATAGAATGATATACTTACCGCGGTCTTGTGACCAATATTTTCAGTTGAAACCGGGCGGACCGATTACGGATAACGCCTTATCTATCTCTGCCGATAAAAGTTTTATTATAGGTACATAATGTATACAATATTATCGCGTTTTACACGGACCAGTTCTTTCAAAAATAAAATTTCGTTAGCTCTCGGGCTTATTTTAACGTGCGTTTGGATCACAGTTGAATCGTATGAATCGTGGTTTTGTATGGACGTATATCTGTTGTATATATACATACACATCTGTTGTATACATACTTATACGCATATGGCGAGCAAACGACGGACAAATGAAGAGATCGAAAAATATCGAACGGAATACCATGTCAGAGATGAACGGATACAGTGCCCGAAAGATGATGATTATATTATTATGACAAAACTAACGCAGTCTCGTGAACCCGGTGGACACGAACGTATTTTCGTGTACTAGTGAAACACGGAAAGGCTTCGGAATAGCGACTAAAAGCCTACAAATGGCTTATGAAGCTGAAAAAAAAAATAATATACGGCATTGTGCGTTTTTCGGGCCGTCAATTATTGCACGATAATAATCTCAGTCAGTATTCGAAAAGAATAGCGTCGGTCCTGATGTCGATGGGAAACACTTTACCGTGGTGAGCTCCCGACGATATTATTACCTTGGTACCAATTTACTTTTGAAATGAAAATTATTTCCGGCACGCGATTCTCTTTTGGGTTTACGCATTTAACGCGCACAGTACCCAGTAGCATATTATTATAAAACGTTGTCGTGTATTATTAAATAATATCAAATAGTATCTTTTAAAATTTACTTTGCATTTTGATTACATTTTTATACGGCCGTATCTAGTCGTTATAATATTATTTTCGCGACACGAATCTAAGTTTACATAGCACGAAGAAAGTTTACGGCGGCGGCGATTCCGCTGAGATACCCAGTATACGGGAAACCATATTTTGATGTATTTTCATTTTATTTTTAAATTATATAGTTTCCGGTCGTTTTAGATTCTTTGTGTAACGGAGAATCTATTATAGGTTTTTTCTCTCAGAAAACATTTTGGTTACAGTATAGGTAGATATTAGTAAAAACGCTCTAAATTCCAAATTATTCACAAAAAAAAAAAAAAAAAATTTTTGAATTCCCAACAGATTTTGTTTTAATAAAATAATAAAACTGGCAATAAAATATTGGTTTTTTTGTTGGCTACAAAGAAAAATTATACGACTAATATTAACCTTACGGTTTTACCGAGTTCAGTTCATAGTTATTTTTTGATTACGATGATTTATCGTTGGTTTCAACCTATATCCTATAACCAGTATAACCAACATCTTCTCGCTCAAAACAGTGCCGATTTTACACAGTGTTTACCCGTGGTGCGAAGTATGTCTGGTCATAGCTTATCATATAATAATTTTTAATAATATCGTACACGATTTTTAGAACGTTTACGCCCGTCGTCGTGGTGCCTGCATAAATGCATTTTCGGCTGATAATGCTCGTTTATCTTAAAATGCATATTGCATGGGAATATAATCTATGGTAAAAATAGTACTTTTTATTTCCCATTTCAGACTTTGATTCTATAATAATAATATTATAATATTACGAAAAGGTTGGAACATAAATATATTTATTTTTTTAAATGACGATGTGAAAAATGTCCTGTTTATAGTATTATTGAAATTATCATTTTCATTTTTACACAATTCATAGAAACTATATTATTTAAATAAATAAATTATAATACGCTCGTTTAACCGTTTCCATTATTATAACACCATTATAGAATCCGAATTCCGAATACATTTGCATTTATTCTGTTCATGCTCTATATTATATACTCGTATTTCAAGGCGGTTCTTAGGGTTAAAACTACATTTTTGTTTTAAAATACGTATTCCTAATTATAATAAAAATGTATACAAGTTAAAACTTAAAAGTTTACCCCAGTATATTTTAATATAATACATTTTAAATATTCAGAATACATCCTGATTTTATTAATCCTAATATTATAATCTAAATGTACTTACTTACGTATTCTAAACATTCATAGGACATAGCGAATTTACGTTCAGTAGGACAATTTTTGTGCAGTTAGTTTAAATATTATAGCGAATTGATCTATTAGCAAAATTTGAAGTTCTCTATGCTTCTACATCTGTGTTTATTTGACATTTTAATTTTTATGTGAGATATAAGTGTTGATGTTAATAATAGCATTTGTTATATTAACTGGTAATTTTACATAATAACCAGTTACTCAGGTGATAGTGATAAATTTGTTCTATTTTTCTACTATTTTAACAAACTATTATGTATAATTGGCATAACTCTTTAAATATTACGATCAATTTATCATATTTAATATTTATTGTATCTCATATTTTCCATATTTCTATAGCACTATTAAATGTTTGTTTTTCTATCATTGACGATAACAATCGCCACCGTCATTTAGGTTATACACAAAGGTATGAAAGTTTATTCAGAAAACGTTTGAAAAAAAGTTTTTAAGTGGGAAAAATTGTAAAACCCCGAGTTCCTGAGTTCGATAGAGGATTTGGTGATTTCAGAAATATTTTTGGAATCATTTGAAGGTAGACGAGGAAAAAGATTTGTATACAATTGATACCAAAGAAAGACACAGAAGTTATTCCAGGAAGTAGTTTAATATTTGTCAAGAAAAGTTTATATCTACAGAGAATACAGAACCCTGGTGTCTTTTCGTAAATTTACGAGGAAATCGTCCATTACTGACGGTCAGGGGTTTAAGAAATATGACTGCAAAAAAAAAAAAAAAACGCCTTTCAACACAGTGTAGTTTTAAGAAAAATTACGTTTATGCAATTTAAATTACTACCCATGGTAGTTCATCTTATTTTTTGAATACATAATCTGTTTACACATTAATAAAATAATAACCATACATAAATTAATAGCCTTACATTACCATAACTTTATTAAAAAATCATAAAAATCAATTTCGCATGATGTGAAAAATGGAATTGGAAATATAATGATGTCGTTTAACATCACCTATACAAGTCGTTTTATTATTATATTTCTATGTATACGCCGTATAACGAACTTTAAAGATTATGCAAATAATAACAACAATGATCAAAATATCCGGAAAAAAAAATTTAAAATGTACAAAAATTATAAAATTATTACAGGTTATATGGTATATATGTACTATAACACAAAAATGTAAAATATTGAAATAATAATATAATTTTACAAAATTAAAAACGCTTACTTTCTTGTTTTTTTTTTTTAGAAGAAAACTTATATATTATTCAAATGTATAAATTAGATTTAGTATATTTTATTTTCAGAGCATTAAACTATGAGTGTTCGATCAAATTTTCTTGTGAACTACTTATTTTATACTTATTTTTTGTAAAAGTTAGTTCAGAAAATGATTTTTAGGTTTTAAAACAATTGGTAATGGAAATAGGTAAATACATTTTGATGAGAGTATATAAATTAGGAAAAGATAATAATACACGTTTGTCATTAAACAGCTTCCAAATATCTAGCATAATATAGTAATTTTTTATTTCATAAAAAGATTTACTTAGGGTCAAAATTACTGTTTGTGTCTACTGTCGGTACATCTTTTTATAAGTGATAAGTATTGAGGGTTCCAACTTACACCTTACGCATTACGTTTTTGTGTTAATCCACCATCCCCAAATAAAATTTGCTAGCTCAATGTATTAGGCGTAGATAGAACCAACCTGAAATACGTGTTAGGTAGGTAGACATGTGTTCACGGTTCGAATCCTGATGTGCTAGGATAATCATACTCTGGATGTTGACTAGTTGCCTTCAGCGGCCGTTTTCGACATTTAAAATACATACCAGTTGCCCTCAACCAAATATACCAAAGCTACATATCATACATATTTAAGTAATGATTAACTAATGGTGTATTAAATATTTAATGGCTCGGTAAATCACTGATCAGTTGCACAGACATTTTACGAATTATTCAAGGAGCGTTAACATATATCATCTATAATTTCATTTGAAATATATTTTTAATGGCAACTGAACACTGCCGTGTTCATAACATAAAGTTGTTATAATAGACACTTAATAATAATAATCAATAATATTAAAATATTTCAATTTGGTATTTTTTTTTTATTATTTGTTTATTTGATATTTGTTTTGACCTGTATTATAAAATTATGTTAGTATAATAATAATAATCTTTTTTTTTTAATAATATTGTTCTTTATTATCGAAAAATATTACAATTATAATATATAACATGACAGTTTAATGAGACAGTACATTTAACATTCATTTAAATTAGAATTAATAAATAAAATAAAAACAAAAACGAATGGTAGAATATACTTAATTTACATTATTTACAATACGCCTTTTAACATAAAGAGTAGAATAGTTATAGAGTTTTAACCCAATTGAACGAGAAAAAGAGAGCTACAGAAATATAATTTCTACACTTAAAATCACGAAAAAAATTATTGTTGTATAGAGACTGGAGAGGATAAGTAATGTGGAACGGGGGGGGGGGGAAGTAGATATTCATACAAACGAATGCAGAATGTATTTTACAAACAGATAGTTCATTTGATGTGGTACAATTTTCGCCCGTGCGGTTTCCGCTCATCATCTTTTTCGTATTATTTCCATCAGTCACCTATCGTAATTTTTACCTGTCGAAATTACACAATGTGGACTACCCACTTAAAATTTCAAATTATAAATTAACATTTATTTAATTTATTACAATTTTCTATTATGAGTAGGTACATAATTGTTAACTTATTATTATAACTTTTTTTTTATATAATTGTCTAAGATTATAAAGAATAATATAGTTCCCGAACAAACGATAAATTCAATAAACATTTTTTTAATTTTTGTCTTTTTAGAAATTTTCATTTATTTGTTTGATATGTTTATCTGAATGTATATATATTTTCTTTCTTCTACTGGCACGAACTCCAAGCGCATAGCCTTTCGTTGAAGAATTATATTAGTTATTATGGTGTAAATAAAATTACGTGAAATATAATTGATAAATACACGTATAATTTATCATTTGTTCGGAAATCAAAATCAAAACTATAATAACTTGAAAATTTTATATAATTTCAGCCGGTAAAAATGACTAAAGGGCGGAAAACGCGTGGACGGAAAGAGCACGGCGAGGCGCCGTTCATTTAAAGTAGAAAAAAACAGGTCAACGAGCTCATTATGATAATTCCTAACCCCGTTCAGTAGAAATAAATTTAAGAAAGAAAACGAATCAACCAAAATAGATGAAGAAACAGCCAAGCCACCAAACCCAGATAAACCAAGCCTATCAGAAGAACAGACTGTGAGGAATATTGAAATCACCGATTAAGAATATAGAAAAAGGGCAAGTTATAGGTATTATACATTCAAGTAGTAACCTAAGTAAGAAGGACAAAAGTATGTTCCACATCAGGTGTGCCACGGTGAATCAAAGATAATTAACATAATAATATGATCTCTTCTTCTTCTCGTGTCGGTCAGTATTCCTTTCTTTGCCCAGTATTCAATGATTTCTATAATTTTGTCCGTGATTTCAGTTAGTCCAATGAAATCTTTCATTTCACATCAACTATAGGTATAAATGTACACTCGAGCAGATGGTTTGATGGTTATTTCTCTCCATATTCACAATTTGAACTCTTAGTCATTTCTCACCTATTTAGGTTTTCTTCAGTTCTTCCCACTTGTGTCCTCAGATGGTTGAGTTTTCCACATTTTCCAGGGTATGTTATATCCCGCTGGGAAGATTTCTGTGGGTACGCCCCAGCCTATGAGCGTTATCCTCTTTTGTTAGCATCCTCCATGCTTCAATCCGGTTTACCATTGGGTAAACCGGTAAAAATGGTTTGATTGGTTCGAAAGCCATTGTATTAAAAAAAAAAAAGTTTTGTTATTCATAAATAGATAATCATTAAATTGAAATTACTTTTTACATTGTTAAATAAAAATTATATAGCGTTTAAGTTATATTTTTGTAATGAATTATGGTAACGGAAAATAATAGTAGACAAAAATAGAAGTGTGATAACTGTTCAAAATTTTAAAATAATAGGCATTTTTAATACCTTAAACGACTAAATTGATAGTAAAACATAATATACTTAAGCCCACTTAAGGGTAGTCAATAGCAACCGTAAGAAAACCACGTACATTTTTGTATATTTACGTGTACTTATTGCTCGATAACTGTTCGAAAATAATGCCCCCGATAAATAAAATAATTTCGGAACACCCTAACGTATACCGTTCAAATCCGAGCAGTGCCATAAGCAAAATAGGATATAAATGTGTTATAATTCGATTTACAAATGTTGTTTCTCTATAGGGTGATCAATATAACGTGAGAAACTCATTATCTCGGAAGTATAAATATTTTTGGAATTTGTTTTTATATCATTTAAGGAAGTGTCTCTAAAATATTAGACTTCGGTTATTTTTTGTTATCTATTAAAATGGGGATACAACTACTACCTACTTTTGAATTTAAAATGGCAATTTGTACTTAAAATACCATTAACAGATGGGGTATTAGTTTAAATAAATGTTGGTGTTGGAATTTCTGTTTGTTGATAGGAGAGTGATGGAAACACTATTAAAATGCCACTCCATGTTTCTTCACAAACACTACTCTCCCCCCATCGAAAGTTAAAATTTTAATATCTCGTTAACGGGTTAAAAATTAAAGGTCCATTTTGCTAGTTCCGCCCCTTTTCTATTTTCAATACCAAATTAAAAGTATTGTTTTTTTTTGTACAAAACTACAAAAAAAAAAAAAAAAAATAGCAGTGCTGACGAAACGGAATTCAAAATTGATTTAAACTAATACACCGTTTATTTATGGAATTTGTAATATTGGTTGCCTTTTTTATTTAAATGAGAAGTAGGTAGTAGTTTCAACTTCTAAAATCAGTGTGAAAAAAAAGAGAAATGTAATATGTTAAAGCTACTTATTTCTTGAATGTTCAAAAAAACATATTCTGAAATAAGTAAATACATTCCGAGATGATGAGTACCTTACGTTCTATTAATCATCACACATATATCATCATATTATTATGTCCATTACGTTTTTAATGCTGGGTTGCTATTTAACGAATGTAAAAGTTTAACGGAAAATTTGTGTTTTTAACGACTCATTATTATTTTGTTGTAAACGTTTTGTAAATTTGAACGAACCATTCAATTTCAGTTTAACGATTCATTTGTTAGCCATTCTACTACGATTCTGCAAATTTTAGTTTTCGACATATAAAGGTACATTTCGCTCTAGCATTTCAATATCCTTTTCTAAGGACCTCAACTCTTTATCCAAATTATTCTTTCTTTTTATTTTTTGTATCGTATCAGTGTACACCGGAAGTAACAAAAACTCCTTGTGCAATTCTCCCCAGTTGGTCTTCAGTCCCTAAAACAGTTAAATAAAATACATAAACGGTGTTTTCAAAAAGAAACACTTCACGTTAAAACCCGAAACCGGGCGGCGAGCTCACATTTATCAATGCCTCGCGTTCTTCTTTCGGTACAAGCCTCAATGGTGGCTTTATCTGTCGTATTCTTTCTTCTTCCTTTTTCCGGGCCAACTCTTTTTCTTTGTGAATTTTAATGATATAATTAGGAGTTTTTCCGTAATTCTTAAACACACATAAAAACAAAAGAACAAACCATTAAAAAAACTAAACACATTTCACTAATTTTCACAGTAAACATAATATTATTTTTAATAATTTATTGGTACCTATGTAAAATTTATTATTACGTTATTATTGGATATTATAAGAAAATGTCTTATAAGTATTATTTAATTATAGTGTCTAAAGAAATTAATTTCTGATTTCGTGAGGTTAAAAAACTATTGTCGTAGGTCATATAGAAAATTAGTCTTTTTGCAAAACGACTAATTTTCCACAATTTTGCAATTTCTCTATAGAATTGCTAATTAAGAGAATATATATATAAATGTTAATGTATGTTTTCATTAACCATACCCATTACGAATATTTTTATGTTAAGCCAATATAAGATCCGCAATTATCTATGTGGTCCAGAAATTTGTTTTAATCACATACCTTACTGCCCACATAATTTGGTATCACAACGATAACGTGACCGTCTCTTGTGTCTTGGATCTGTTTCTTGGATAAAGACGGCGCTACCCTCGAAATGTCAATAATATTCTGGGCAATAATATTTTTTTTCGGTTTCGGTTCACTTGGAGGTGCCTGCTTCGGAATTCTTGGTAAACTTTTGTCACATTTGACTTTTTCTGGAAATCATTAAAATTACATATTTACGCATAACTCATGCGTCATTATATGTTTTTGTTTGATGTCAAAATTAAGGGGAAAATGGTCCCAAGTATAATTCAGATAGTTCTACGAGTCTTTAAATTGTTTACTTGTGTTCCTGTTCATACTTAATTTCAAACATAAATATTCTTTCGAAATAAATCAGTAATCTATTTATTTAGTAACAAAACAGACTGATTCCAATTTACAATAAGACTTTAAAATAGCATACAATAAACTACCTATTACATAATGGTGTTATAACAGTTTCTTTTATGACAGAGAGGGGTTAAGAATAGCCAGACGTGGAAGATGGATTTGTAAAGTAATGCTCAAACAATTTGAATAGAACTATTTATATTTATAACAATGTGACTAAAAGATTCAAATGTGGCTGAATACTTGGTATATTTTATTAAAAAAAATAAACGTTTAATCATTTAATAAACATAACGGAACTCCGTTGATGTATATGATATCTGTAAGTTCCTTGATAGTATCGCAGTCATCACATTCCCACAATAAATGCCCTTTTTAATTTTTATACAAAAATTCAAATCAATATAACACTATTATTAATGGATGATCTACGAAATGCCTTCTAACCTAACAATAAAAATATAACGTTTTTTTTTATAGTTTTGACCGCTCGAGAAATTCCGAGACGATTAATCTGCCGAGAACCCCGTACACAAGTACACACTACCAAACCCTTTCGAATATTTCTCTTGAATAGTTGAATAGCTAACTAAATACTCGTGTTTAATTTCTTTTATATTTATTTAAATAGTTCAACGTTTTTCTTCTCTAATTTAAATATTAATTAATAATTAATATAATTAATATATTTATTATCTGAATACATTTTCCTGTTTTCCTTAATTTTTTTTCGGTTTTTCGCATTTGATGAGAAAGCACCAGAGAAAATCGAAAAATGATCTTTTAATAGATCTTTTTAAGTACCTCTCCATACTGATTTACTTTCAGAAAGGGTACTATATGTAAAAATTGGAGTAAGTTCTTTGGTAGAAAAGTTATTCACAGAAAAAAAAATAAAAACATCTTTGTAAAACCATAAGTTTCTTCGCTCTACTCAGAATCTAAAACAATCAGTATAGTTAAATGACGATACTATTTCTTGGGGCCTGGTGGTCATGGCCAGGCCAATACTGTCAGTTCATGATAAAAAATAATCTTATTTCATATATAATAGCATATAGGAGATAGGTACCGATTACAAAATATATATTATTATCTTACCGACACTCGGTCTAATCACTTTTCTGGTGTTCTTTTTTAAAAATTGCGACGGTGGGTCGAGATGAACTTTAGCATAACCCATTGTCCGGTGGCAGTCTTTAATTGAGTTGAACCGTCTCTTCACCGATTCCGTGAAAATGGAATGATATCTCGGTGGTTTGATAATGGGCGTTATCGGTTTCGGAATTATGAACTTGATATTTTCTTCGCACTTCTTCATTTTATCTGTTCTGTATGAATTCGAAGGAAAGTCAAATAAGTCTTGATACGCGGGTATGGTTGATATTAATTTCACCAGTGGATATACTTGCGAATTCAATTGTTACGACTTTTTTTTTCTTATTCTTATAAAACAATAATACTTATTTTAAATCGTAGTGCAATTATTGAATATATACCGGTATTAAAATTGTTAGGTATACTAGTATAAAAAAAAATTTACCTAGCAACGTACATTGGTCTGTAAATGAAAATATTATGGCTAAAATTCTTATTTTACAGAACTAGTTTAAAACAATGTATTATGTATTATACATTAATTAAAGCATACTTCCACGCTTAAATTAATTTTTTGAATTAAAAGTTATACATAGGTGTACTGCATGAATATATTTCCAGGTAACACTAAATATTTTGGCCGGATGAACTTGGATTTTAAATTTAGTTTAGGAAGCTGATAGGGGATACATATTTGGATTATTTTTAGTTTTTGAACCCTTTTGGTGTGTGCAAAAGAGACTATTTGACTTTTATACACTTTTGGCGGCTTCCTCTGGACGAAATTACCTCAAAGTCAGGAATTACAGTTGTTTTATTGGTACATTGAAGTCATAAAAGTCAGGTTGAATTTCAATATGATTTTAACCAGATTTTGTTGCGTGCTGAGGTTGATTTTTAGTTTTGAACATTCTACCAGATTCCTCGAACGTAGCCAGGAGTATGAAAATTTGTTACATATGCATGGATTTAGTGTTGAGAGTTTAAATAATTTTTCTACGAGAAAAATTGCTACAGTACTCCAAATATTGCATTAATCAAAATATGCTAAGAGACTTCTTTTGTTATATTTTAGATCTAGTTGGTTATAGTGGTGCATCCATCAGTAGTATTCGCTCTTTTCGCAGTTGAGTAATGGATGTTTTGGTTTTACCATGTGTTTTTTTTTTAAATCGTTTTATGATTAAATTTTGACAAAAATAGTAAAAATTACAGCATTTTAAAACAAATATAATTGAACTTCGTTTAAAATTGTATTTCTTTAGCAATGGTTTATCATTGTTAACAGATATACATTAAATAACTTTATGTATCCTGTCTTCCCAAGTTTCACCTTACAACAGTGGTCATTACACATGATCAGTACCTGTCCTGACATTGTGTACGAAAAAAATAATTTTTTTTACGTACAAATTTATACAATTTAACTCTTTCATAGTGCGTTCCCGTAGTTAATATTTTTTTAAATTTTTATTATTCCGTACTCTACTATATAGTGGACTGTATGAATTATTAGGGTAGAATATGGACAAAGAATAAAACTCGCATAGTTTTCGTTTGTCGTGTTTAGCGGACTACTATTCAAATAAAACAAACTAGGTATAAATAAATAAATTGGGCACAATGAGGACTGGCCAGAGCGGGGAATAATTGATAATTAAAATACAATACAAATAATAATAAAAAATAACGAAGAAATAAAAAAAGAACCGTGATATTGATGACGGCGACGGTATTGCAAGAGCGTTGGCAAACGACGAAGGCGACAGTGGACGACGGGTGCCAGGTGTTTAACCGGCAGGCAGATCACGGTAAAGACTATCGACGGTGATGGTGGTGGTAAAGGATATACGGCGGTAAAACAGTGGACAAAACAAATAAAACGACGAACCAAACGGAAACAATTACGGAAGAAAACTTGAACGAAATTCTCACCACACACGTACACTGCTGGACGGTCGGTTACGTGACTACTCGGTATCGGTGTCGGTATGAAGCGCATCTTACCACTATTAAGTATAATCAACATTTATACTCAACTCGATTTTAAAGTCGTGGTATTAGCTTTTTAAAAAAGACTTGAACGTTTTTCGCATCAGGACGTCCAATCGGATTCGTATATACCTACGCGTTTAAACTACTGGATTACTGAATCGTAGATTAATTTTGTTATTCATATCATATACCTGCAGCATTGCAGGTACCTATGTTTACTGGTCACCTATACCCTTTTCAATTTGTATATATATCATCTCCAGGAACAACGTGGAGGAGGATCATCCTAGACGTCAGTGGGCTCTTTATACCTAACTGCCACATTTTTCTCTTTACGAGAATTTTCGTTTGACGTTTATTTTGTACGAGTCATCCGAGTTTAAATAGAACCCTGCGAAAATACCCCGTGTTCAGTAGCCCGGAGCGACGCACTTAAAATACGTACCTACCTATATTCGCAATTATAACGTAAACCTATGGTTTTAATAGTACAATTTTTGTCAAGCATTACGGAGATACAATTTTTTCATATTATTGTATTTATCACGATGCTTTATAATAATCGACATATAATTTCATCCAAAATAATCTAAAACCAATCGTGCACTACCACCACGTTTGTGAATAATACGAAAAAACATATTTCGAGAAAAACGAGTTTTTACGAAAAGATTTTACGCATTTTTAAACTTAAGTACATGAACTACTGCTCTACATTACATTGCCGTTCAGATAGTACATAGATGTTCTTTGTATCTATAGCCTAGTTTACATGCGTCGACTCAATACGTGTACTGACCGTTTGATACACATCAAGTTTTCGCTATAAGGATTTTGGTATCAGACCAAATTTGATGCGTATCAAATACAGAAATTAATATTTTAAGTTTATGTGTTTCTTGTTTATTTTGTTTGTTTGTTAATACTTAACTACTATTCATCTTTCAATTCAAATAAAATCGAACGAAGTAATATAATATAAATACATTATAACATCAAAAACTAAAATCCGTTAGATATTGGTTTGATAATGCTGCCTAATTTGATAATATCTTTTTTATGAATTATATTGTTTACAGGGAAATAGATAATAATCATACAAAAAATTAAATTAAAATTACTAAAACAAAACACTCGACAATTTTAAAAATAAAGTACTATTTTATGTATCGTAAAAAAATTGTGAAAATTTCAATTTCTTATAATAGATACTGAAATAAACACAATTTTAATTACTATTTCGGTTTTGATGGCAGTAGTGTTATGAAAAGCTAATGGTCAATTTTTAAGTGTAGCACCTTTTCTGAAAGGAAATCGGCGTGGGAAGGTACTTTAAAGCGGCTATTTTTTTATTTTCTCAGGAGTTTTCTCAACAAATATGATAAACCGAAAAATAACACGGGAAAACCGGGAAAAACGTAGAAAAAACGGGAAAATCGGTACATTAAAACAAAATATTATTAAAAAAATATTATTATTATTATATAATATATAATGCTTTTTTAATTATTTTACCATAGTATGATATATTGTTGACAAAACATCATTATCAACTGAACTCCGCTCAGAACCATTTTTTCGTTAGCAATGGTTTATCGTTGCTTACAGATATACATTTAAGTCTCCTCCTAATTATCTTTTAAATTTACCATCTACAATAGTGGCTGCACTCATCCCCATTATCCTAGGACAACTTTTTTTTTTCTTTTTTAAACTATTTAAGAGTATACGCAGTGTACTCGTGATTTTTCAACAAAATGTTAAGAGTAAACGGCGTATATGTAATATAACCAATGTGAATACCACTGGTTTAAATTGTTTAAAGAATGTTCACTATTAAATCTCTTATCATTTAGGCAATGGTTATCATTTAGGTATTCTTCGATTGGTATGAGTGATATAAACACGGTTATATCAAACGTGTGATACGAATCTATTTGATTCGTACTAGCTTAGTACGCCCGTTGTAAACTAGGCCTATAATACGCGTTAATAACAAATATAATTTATTAATTTTGTTTTTTTTTTTTAAAACGTAATGTGTTAGTTAATTGATATTTCCATTATTTTGGACAATGTTAAATCGTACTGATTTATCAGTTACCTACGTGATTGCTTGTATATTAATATTATATTGTAAACCTGTAGATTTAACATGCACTGGTTTAAATATTTCATTTTAAGTAGGTACCCAACGAAATGTAATTATTTTGTGCAATATGCTATTCTATTAAGCAGTGAGTGATATATTTAATTATCTATATCATTCTAGGAAAACATTTAACACGGCAAAAAATATACGTCACTTTAATAACTATGAAATTACCTATACTGTTTGACGTCTGGTTAAAAGCTTAGTTAAAAAAAAAGCATGGACATATTTCGTACGTGCAGCCACTGTTGTAGGTGGAAAGTTGAGAAGGTAAGATACAGACAGGAATTGAATTATATCTGTAAGCAACGATAAACCATTGCTAACGAATAAACGATTCTGAACGGAGTTTAATTGACAGTGTTGCTTTGTAAACAATATATATCATATTGTGGTAAAATGATTACAAAAATGTGCATTTCCATGACAACACCGATTGCTTAAGAAAGATTCAAATAAAAAAAAATTAATAATAACAAAAAGTAAACAAAAACGGTTGCCTGTGACAATCTTTTTTTTAATCTTTCAATCTTTTTTAACCTGAAGACCAAGGTTTTCCTCGTTATCTTGATTATTAATGAAAATTTTAAAAAAATGACCACTCTAAAGTACTACCCAAACAAAATTTCCTTTCATAAAAGGTGCTATACTTGATAATCGGAGTATGCTTTCTGGTAGAAAAAATGTTTACATAAAAAAAAAAAAATAATAAAAAATAAACATCATTATAAAACCAATACATTGCTCGCTCCAGTCATAATCTAAAATACATTTCAAAGAGGTTCAGGAAGTGTACATGAATTATTCAGGAAGTAATGGAATATAAAAAGATTGATAGTAAAGTTGAGAGGAGGATATTTTAAACTTTTTAGCAAAGTATTAAAAATTACTTCCCCCATTTCTCTTTAAGTAATTGCAGTAGAAAAATGTCGTTTGTTCAACACAACCGTGCATCATTATTAAAAGATTGATAATGTTAATATGCATAATATTAATGAGGAAAATTATAGTGGTATTTACGACTGAATCTTGAAGTTAAAGACTTTGCTATACTTAATTTGTAAGGGGATTGGAAG